GACGTGATGAAGAAGAAAATAGTCAAAATGAAAAGTCGTTGCTGAAGGGGAGAATTGAAGAATCAGCACCGACATTGAAAAAGAATCTGAAAGTTGCTGAAATTAAAGCTCACAGCCATTCATGGAAAATTCTAGACAAAATAAATTTCAGTTAAGCCTAGAAGATTCTATCACCACCGCATACTGGAAGCCGCTAGAATTATCTATTATCCACCGCCATTAAAGAATTATTTAGAATCATCAATCTTTGTGTAGAAGAATCTAATGTCTATATATATCTGTATGTGTGCGCTCAACACATAAGTAATGTATTTGAGTGTGTAATTGAAAGAGTGCAAAACGAGTGAGTATGCAAGAGAGAAAGTGCAAGGTGTGCGTTAGTAAAGAAAATATTTTTGTTAATAAAATCATTTACGTTTGGCCTTTAAACTCAACACAAACTCTCTCTAAGACACACACAGAGTCAAGAAGATTGTACAATTATATGGAGCCTAATTATATTGTAACTTATCTATCATCACGTGTGAGGCTTTTTCAGTAGTATTGTAGATGGTATCACAGTGGCATATTGAGAATTCCATACACATATTACGTCACCCTAACAAAAAGAACTTAATTAAGGAGAAATAACCCCGTAATCTTTTTCAACTATCACGAGGACGAACTACAATAAATAAATCTGTGTGCGCATGCGTGACCTTTGCATGTTTTCCAGATTTCATAATTTCTCTCATACTACTGCTATTACAAACTCGACCCTTTGGCTTCAAGAGCAAGAGTTAAAAGAATGAGAACAAACTTTTATATATGTTTCTTCTGCCTTTTCTCAACACGGTACATAGAAATATATACTTACAAGGTTTCCTAATTCTGAGGTTTACAATAAGGAAACAAATCAAGTTACTCCTAATTCTATGACATAATAGTAGAAATAGAATATACCACAATAATTTAGAATCTTCAAAGATTTGATTTAATTCAACCAAATCTTAACACTCCTCCTCAAGTTGGAGTATGGATGTTAAGAATGTGCAACTTGCGTATTAAGTTTCTGAAAATATTTCCACCTAAAGCTTTGGTGAAAACATCAGCCAACTGGTGAGATGATGGGACAAATTTTGTAATAATCTGCCCTGCTTGTATCTTTTCTCTCACGACATGACAATCAAGTTCAATATGTTTAGTGCATTCGTGATACACTGGATTTGCTGCAATATGAAGGGCAGCTTGATTGTCACAGAATAGGTTGACAGGTCCAAATGAAACTTGCAAGTCATTGAATAAGAATCTTATCCAAGTGAGTTCACAAGTTGCAGAAGCCATCGACCTGTACTCTGCTTCTGAAGATGATCTAGATACTATCATTTGCTTCTTTGTCTTCCAAGAAATTAAGGAGTTTCCAAGGAACACTCCATATCCTGTAGTTGATCTCCTTGTCATGGGGCAGTTTGCCCAATTAGCATCACAATAAGCTTTCAATGTTAGAGAATTGTGAGAAGAAAATAACAACCCGAGACCTGGACTTCCTTTTAGATACCTCACAACACGAAGAGCAGCATCCCAATGTGGCTTTCTTGGAGCATGCATAAACTGACTTAGAATATTTACAGAGTATGTAATATCTGGCCTGTGATTGTAAGGTAGATTAACCTACCTACCAATCTTCTGTAACGAGATTGATTAAGTAGGAGTTCACCTTGATTGTTTGTAAGTTTCAGGTTTTGTTCGATAGGAAAATCAATAGGTTGCACTCCAAGAAAACCAATATCATCTAGAATCTCCAAAGCATATTTTCGTTGTGATATAACAATACCAGCTTTGGATCTCGCCACTTCCAAACCGGGAAAATACTTTAAATAACCAAGGTCTTTAATGTGGAATTGCTGGTGAAGGAAAACTTTGAGATCTTGAATAGCTTTTTCATCATTTCCCGTAATGATCATATCATCAACGTATATCAGAACCACAGTTAGAGAGCCATTAATCTTTCTAACAAATAAAGAGTGATCAGAATGAGATTGAGTACAACCAGCCTTCTTGATTGCTTCTGAAAACTTTGAGAACCAATTTCTGGGAGCTTGTTTAAGTCCGTAAAGAGACTTGTGCAGTTGACATACTAAGTTCTCCCCCTGTTGACAGAGGCCGGGAGGTGGGGCCATATATACCTCCTCATCTAAATCACCATGAAGAAAAGCGTTATGAACATCCAACTGAAATAGAGGCCAATGACGAACAGCAACCAAAGCAAGAAGACAGCAAACAGTAGTTAGTTTTGCTACAGGGGCAAAAGTCTCATGATAATCCAAGCCCTCTATTTGACTAAAGCCTTTGGCTACCAAATGGGCTTTGTAACGTTCCACTGTGCCATTGGAATTATATTTGATGCGGAAAACCCACTTGCTACCTATTGGCCGATGGTCAGGTGGAGGGGAAACCAAGGTCCAAGTATGTTGATTGGCAAGAGCAGTGAGTTTAAGGTTCATGGCCTCATGCCACTTTGGATCTTGGACTGCCTGTTCATATGTGGTAGCTTCGAAAGTACTAGAAATAGTATTGACAAAAAATTTATGAGAGGAGGACAACGAGTCATAGGAAACAAAGTTGGATAAGGGATAATGAGTACCTGACCGTGAAGAAGATGACATGCCGTGAGGTGCTGCAGAAGATAATGTACTAGCTTGGCCACAGTGAAAGTTATGAAGCTGTACAGAAGGTTGTCTGAGGCGATCACTTCGACGAAGCATAGGGGTAGTTGGAGAGGGATTTGATGGGGATGAAGGGAGAAGAGGACTTGGTGATGGTGGTGTGGAGTTGGATTGCATATCAGGAGATGGAGAAGGTAATGACAGGTTAGGAGATTCAAGAGCTGGGGAAGGTAAAGGTAATGACGGATCGACGTCAGGTGGGTACGGAGGTATGTGAGAAAATGAAGGATTCACCGTTTGGGTTTCAGCCTTGGGAGTAGAAAAAGGTAATACGTTCTCATAAAATGTTACATCACGACTGGAGAAAAATTTTTGAGTTGTAAGATCATAGATACGATAGCCTTTTTGTCCAGAAGGATAACCAACAAAAATACATCGGTGAGCACGAGGAGAAAACTTTGTCAGTGATTGAAGGTTGGTGGCATAACAAAGGCATCCAAAGACTCACAAATGTGTGTAACTGGGAGATTTGTTGTATAGAAGTTCATATGGAGTTTTGTGATGTAATACTGGTGTAGGAAGACGATTAATAAGATAGGTGGCAGTAAGTAAACTCTCTCCCCAGAAATGTAAAGGAAGATTTTCTTGAAATCTTAAAGCTCGACCAACATTAAGTAAATGACGGTGTTTGCGTTCTACAACACCATTTTGTTGAGGTGTAGAGGGGCAAGAGCTTTGAAACAAAATGCCAAGATGAGAAAAGTGAGTTTTCATCGAGGTAAATTCCAAGCCATTGTCGCTTCGGACACATTTAATTTGGCTATTAAATTGAGTGTTGACATATGTGATGAATGATTTTAACAAACTCTGAGTTTCAGATTTGAATTTCATAAAAAATATCCATGTGAATCGAGTGTAATCATCAACAATAGTTAAAAAATAATGTGCACCCGTATTAGTTGCAACACGATGTGGCCCCCAAATATCACAATGAATAAGATCAAAAGAGTGCTTAGATTGAATGGAACTCAAAGAAAATGGTAATCTGGTTTGTTTTGCCAGAGGGCAAATCTCACATGAATGTTGAAGATCAAAAACAAAAGAAGGAATTAGTTTGCATAGAGATTGAGACGGAGCTTTAGACGGATGTCCCAGTCGCTTATGCCAAGTGATAGCCAATGGAGTGGAAACATGATATGTTACTGGTGTAGCTGGTGGCGACTTTGAGTGTGGCACAAGATAGTATAATCCCTTATACTGCTTCCCCAAACCAATCATCCTCTTCGAAGCTAGGTCCTGCAAAATACAAAAGTTAGGAAAAAATTGGATAGAACAGTTTAGGGCAGATGTGAGTTGACTAACGGAGAGAAGATTGACATGAAAAGAAGGGACACAAAGAACATCTTTAACATGTAAATTGTGAGGAAGGTGAGCAGTGCCAACACCAGTGATTTTTGACTGAGAGCCATTAGGTAAAGAAACATATGAGGACATAAGGATGTCACTGATCATTGAAGTTGTTATATGATGTGTTGCACCACTATCAATAATCCAATTATCAAATTTGGAAGGGTGTAAAGTAGAGGAAGAGCATAAAGGTGATGAAATACCTGTAGGATTGGCATAAGAAGAATTTTTACCATTTCGGAGTAAGGCCTTGATTTGAGAGAACTCCTCAGAGGTGAACTGAAGTGATTGATCAGGTATTTTAGTTGTAGTATGAACAGTCTCGCTACTTGTTTGATTAGCAGCAACTTTATGATTTCGATTTGGAGGTTGAACATCTTTTCCATGAAGCTTATGTCCAATAGGAAATCCAATCAAATAGTAGCACTTTTCAACTGTATGAGTAGTGCCATCGCAGTAAGTGCAGAATGGTGATTTTCTAGGCCCTTGAGGTTTTGAGATAGAAGGTATCCACTTGGTATGCCGTTGGTGATCATGGTATTGCTGTTTGAAGTTGGGCTGAGTTTTGACATTCATAGCATGGACTTGATCAGCTCCCTTATATTCCAGAAGTCCCCTTTGCTTTTCTTCTTCACATAGGAGAGAATAGACTTTCTTTACAGTAGGCAGATGCTGCATCAGCATGAGTTGCCCTCTCACAGTAGAGTAGGATTCATTCAATCCCATAAGAAACTGTCATAGCCTGATTTTTTCTTCTTTTTCATTCAAATGTTTCAGTCCTCCACAAGTGCAAATAGTAGAAGGACTGCAAATCTTCAATTCATCCCATAGCGTCTTCATCTTGGTATAATAAGTAAAAATGGATTCTTGGTTTTGTTTCAACTCAACAATGGATCGTTGAAGTTGATAGTAATGAGAGAAATCACCTTGTGAGAACCGTTCCTATAGATCTGTCCAGATTTCAGAAGGTGTCTCGAGATAGAGCACACTACTGGCAAGTTCTGGACTAAATGAATTGAGGATCCAAGAAAGAACCATATCATTACAACGTTGCCACGCTTGATGTTTGGAATCACTCTCACTTGGTGTAGGTATTGTTCCTTTGATGAATCCTAGTTTATTTTTAGCACTAAGACTCACCAGCATTGATCGTTTCCACATAGCATAGTTGGTTCCATCTAGGATTTTTGGAACAAGAATCATTCCCGGATGGTCAGAGGCATGAATGAACAGGGGATCAGATGGATCTATGGTGAAGGTGGCCATGGTATGAACGACACTGTTGGAGTCAGTTTCTTGCGCACGGTTGAAGCCAGAATCTTCTTCAACTGACATAATGCGGAAGTTTTAGGATCTTTGCTCTGATACCATAAAAGAATGAGAACAAACTTTTATATATGTTTCTTCTGCCTTTTCTCAGCACGGTACATAGAAATATATACTTACAAGGTTTCCTAATTCTGAGGTGTACAATAAGGAAACAAATCAACTTACTCCTAATTCTATGACATAATAGTAGAAATAGAATATACCACAATAATTTAGAATCTTCAAAGATTTGATTTAATTCAACCAAATCTTAACAAGAGTTGGGCAAAGAATCATTATCAGCAAAGATTGATGATTTTCTTGGCTCTATAAATAGCCTTAAATCGAGTTTACTTCTAAAAGAGATTACTTTTTGTTTCTTGATTTGAAGGGAACTGTGATAAGCAATTATCAAATCACGGGGTCGTGTTTTCAAGACTAGCTTCATTAATGGGGGGCCAAAGATTTGCAAAAAAGTACCTAAGCAAGTGCATATATGCCTTTGTAATGGGAAGTAAAGATTACCTAAACAATTACTTCTTGCCACAATATTACTCTTCAAGCCGCCGTTATACACCAGAGCAGTTTGCTGAAATTCTGATGAGACAATATTCAAAGTAGCTAAGAGTGAGCATTTCTTTCTCGTACTCTTTTTTACTTGTTTGTTATAATGGACTGAAGAAGACGGTACATGACATTCGACAATTTTATTACTTATTTCTTAAGGAATCATATTCAGTTAAGCGTGTCAAACACGTTCACAATAAGATTCTGGCTTTATCTATGCACATATACTTTTACTTTATTGCAGACGTTGTATAGATATGGAGCAAGAAAAGTAGCTGTATTTCCACTTGGCCAAAGTTAGAAATCAGAGATAATGAAGCTTGAAACTTATTTTATTCCATTGATTGTTGCACGATATATATAGCCAATTTACAAGACTTGAACATTCTAGAATTATGCACCATTAGCATGTCTAACCGATTTCTACCAGCTGGCTAATAGGTTACACTCCCACCCCTGAAAATTAGGAACTACAGCATCTACCGTGCATTCTGTTAGGATGCTGTCTGTGTGTTAGCTACAATGAATCATTCTAACAGCCAATTAGGCTGTTGTCCAGCAGAGATGGCTTTGCACGGCTCGAGTCATTGAGTGGAATCAATCAATAATGCAGCTCAAATATTCAATGACAAACTGAAGCCACTTCTTATTAGTCTCAACTTTCTTTTCGCAGATGCAAAATTCATATACACAGATACTGCTATCAATTCATTTGGTAGACGTCTTCTTCCCTACTTTAACATGTTGGAGTGGATTAATTGTTGTACTGATGTAATGGTTATTATTACAGGAAATATCACAGGTTTGAGCACTCCATGCTGTGGTGCTCATCTGAAATTGGACAGTGTCTTCCTGGTACTGTTACATGCAAAAACAGACAAGAGTACATGTATTGGGATGGATTCCATCCTACTGAGGATGAAACTTTGCTTTTTGCAAAAAAGGCCTACAAGGAAGTTTCTCCATTATTCACTAATCTTATCAATCAATACTAAAAAGTGTAGGAAACAACATTAAGAGCAAGATTCTTAATAGGGAGCAATGACATGTAGCGTTTGTAGTTTGGGTTACAATAAGAGGTATCATATGAGAAAGTGATGAACTAAGTGAGGTTAGTAATTGCTAGCATTTGGAGGCATCAACATCATCACAAGAGAAGAAGGTTTCCAATTTGTACCTGTATCTAACTTGGTTTTGAAAAGATCCATTTAATTATTTGATGGAGAAACACGTTCAGTGTCCATGTAGAAACATTTTAAAGTTTAATGACTTGAGAGAAACATTGAAAAAATTTCATTGACTATTTGGAAATATTGGACAAAATTAACAACTTTGACATGCCACATGAGATTTTTGTTGGCCATGACTACATCGGAATCCTTTTGAACAATGAACAAGTATCGCGATTGAAAGTTGAGAGGCTAAAAAAGCTTTGAAGTTTAGTGATGCTCTAGTAGTGCAAGGACAATTCAATGACCAATATAATATATCCCTTGGATCTTACTACATAAATCCGAAATTATTTTTCCTATTTCGATATTAAGTTAACAATTAAATTAATTTATATGAATTTACATAACTAAAAAAATTCTAAATAATCAATACATTTGTCACATGAATCTGAAAGCATGAAGTCAAAAAGAAAATTTACACCTTGTAATTTCTTTTGAAATATGAAAAGAATTGAACGGTCCTGTCCGGTCGTTCCAATTCTTATGGGAATTGATCCGACCAGACCATCCCCTCATGAATTTTTAATATAATATGAAAAAAAAAAAAAACTAAATAGTTTTTGATGCTACCAAAATTCGTACCTGGATGAATTCTAAAAAAAAAAAAAACTAAATAGTTTTCATTTTTAAAAAGTAAAATATAAATAATATTTATGCATATATTTTTTTATGAGTTTGAAAATTAGTCTATATGTAATGTTTATGTAGAACCTTAAATGTATGTTGGTTATTCTCTTCTGGGTAATTAGCGCAAAATGTCCCTACCTTTGCGCGTTTGTGTGCAAAACGTCCATACTTTTATATTTTTTGTGCAGAACGTCTTTACCTTTACTTTTTCTTGCGCAAAACGTCCTTTTCGTCCCTTTTTTACCATTTTACCCTTCTATTAAAATAAAATAAACACAAAAGAAAAGAAAAATAAAGAATAAATTGCAATTGTAGGTTTAAACTTTTAAAAAGGTACAAATTACCAAGGTTTTTTTTTTTTTTTGCATTTTCCTCCTCCGCCTCCTCCACCACAACCACCACCACCACCACGGTCGTCGCCAAAACTACCGGAGATCAACTCATACCATAAACTGCTGCTATCAACGCCCAAACACTTGTGTTATGACAGAAATTTGATACAAATACTACTCAATTGAAAGGAGACCTGAACCCCGTATGCATTCGAACTGTCCCATAATCAATTGCGTGATTCGTGCAAAATTGTTGAAGACCCATACTTGTAATAGCTTCACCACAATGAGAGGATGCTGAATATGGTAGTCTGCGATCATGATGTCCACGACAGTTGCCAGAATTTTCGCCCGAAACATGCGTGATGACTGCTTTCGAAATGTTTGGCTGCAAATATTGATTGGGTGGTTGAGTAGGTGTTTGGGGACCATGGTTTGATGCATCATGATGAGAGGAGTCTACCAATATGTTGGGCTTAGGTTGAGAGTCGTCGGAAAGGTAGTTGCCGGCAGTTTTGATTTGTGTGACCGGTAGACTTTGGACAGAAATTTCGACCAATTCACTTGGAGTTAGGGCCAATTGTTGGGTGGGTTGTGTAGATGGCAGGACTGGCTTCAAGTTGGTACTATGGTCCGATGGCCATGGTGGCCGGAAGGTGGTGAAAATCAGGTGGAGGAGGGGAGGAGAAGAAGAGAAGAGAGAGTTTTTTTTTTTGTAAATATTTTAATAATTTATTTGGACTCATTTGAACTTTTTAAAAAGTTTAGGAGTAAGATTGCCATTTATTCTTTATTTTTCTTTTCTTTTGTGTTTGTTTTATTTTAATAGAGGGGTAAAATGGTAAAAAAGAGACGAAAATGACGTTTTGCGCAAGAAAATGTAAAGGTAGGGACGTTCTGCGCAAAAAATGTAAAGGTATGGACGTTTTGCACACGAACGAGCAAAGGTAGGGACGTTTTGCTCCAATTACCCTAAATAAATAATTTTTTATATATTATTTCTAAGTTGGTTACCTTTTTTATTGTGCATCCAGCTAGCTAACATTTTAATATTAGAAGATTGTCGAACAGTTTAGCACAATCCCCATACTTTGAGAATGACAAATGATTTTCATTAATAATGAATTCAGGTATGTAAGGTATGCACTATACGGCTATAATTTTTTATTTATTTTTTTATTACAGATGGATAACTATATTCGCTTGTAGAATTTGATTTGAATAAAAATCTTGTTAGAAATTGATTGATATTAATTTTTGAATTCAATAGTTGATCCATCAATACATTGGACACACTTTGAAAATAAAACATCGATTTCTTTATTTTTAGCCATACATTTTTCAATAAAATAATATTACGCACAATTCAAAAAAATTTCTTTATTTTTAACTATACATTCTTCATCAATCTACTATTCAAAAATGCATTCCACACAAAAAATGAGGTTCAGATAGGCCCTAAATTACTTTTATTTTCTTCATTGAATTTCTTGGTTGTCGTTTATTGACTATATAAAATATCTTGTAATGTGAGACATATAGCCTTAGAAAAATTATGGGAGAAAGTTGACTTTTGTTGATCTCCCGCAATTTCATTAACGGTGTAATATATAAATGAAAAGAATTTCTCACAAGAAAAAACAACCATAATTATTCCACAAGGATATTGTTGTGCAATAATACCTAATTACGCCCATACATCAATGAACGTGTACCCATTCTTCAAGCAAAATGCAAATAAATAAATGCATAAATATATGAATTCCGTTAACTGTCTTTTACAAGGATTATGTCACTTTATCAAAAAGAATTGACAAATATGGTGACAGATGAAGTGATAACAAAATATGATTGAATATAAAAAGTTGATCATATTTTAAACACTCCAATAATATAATGCTATGTGACATTATGTCGATTTTTCTATCAAACTTTTATGACATTGTAGTATTATTTATTTTACAATAAAATGATATAATTTTTAGGGTACCCTCTATCCAAGCTTGAAGTCTCTCATCCATTCCCTATATATATAGTTTACATTTGGTTTTCACTTTCCAAATTAAGCTCATACATTTCTTGAATTGGTTCTTGAAAATGAATTCTTGTTTGAGAATATGGATTATGTTATCCATATTATTATTCATAATTATGAAATCCCAAAAAATTGTTAAGGGTGAACCACTAGTTCCCTGCTTATTTTTCATGGGAGATTCACTTTTTGACAATGGAAATAACAATTTTCTTGTTACCATGGCAAAATCCAACTATCCACCATATGGGATTGACTATCCCGACGGTCCGACCGGCAGATTCTCCAATGGCCGAAATATCGCCGATTTCCTTGGTCTATATATTTTCCATTCATCAATTTCATCAATTTTTTCTGAATTTTACTTTAATGTGATTAAATATTTATTAACATTTAATTTCTTTTGGATTTGTTTTGCATGCATGCAGCACAATTCCTAGGCTTTGATAACCCAATTCAACCTTTTGCATATGCCAGAGGCTCGGAGATCCTCAGAGGTGTAAATTATGCATCAGGTGCAGCAGGAATTCGTGAAGAGTCGGGATTCCAAGTGGTAATTCTATAGTGTTGACTCGTTCGACACTTTAAATTAGATAAGACAAGATACATATGCATTTTGCATGCGTGGCCTTTGCAAAAACATAGTTCAATGTGACAAAGTTATACAGTTAATGAAACTATTAACTGATGACTTTTATTTTTTTCATAGGGTGATCGGATCAGCTTGAATAGACAATTACTGAATCACAAGACAACTATATCACTGTTTTCACTTTTACTTGGAAGAAACGTGGGTGCAACAAAAGACTACCTTAACAAGTGTTTGTACATAGTTAATATGGGCAACAATGATTACATTAACAACTACCTTTTGCCACAATACTACTCAACAAGTCTAGTATATACTCCCGATCAGTTTGCAGCCATCTTGATTCAACAATATTCTCAACAGCTAAGGGTTTGTTATATTTGCCTTATTTTTTTGCTTCACTTTCATTTTTTCATTTGGTAATATATAGGATGTTACCATTTGTTAATTTGCTCGTCAACATGTTTGGTACGTTCGATTTAAAAGAACACAGCTTTGGGCATAACGTTATTGTGGGCCGGTCTACGACAATTAGCCTTAGGCTGCCCACTTTGACACCACCAAAAATACTTCTTTTCTTTAATCTTATCCCATCAACTATAGTTGAGCATCCAACGGTGAAGGTAGTATCTACTAATCGCAAAATTTCAGAAACATGTTCTTAATATTGTCGAATTAATATGATTTTTAAGGTTCATAATGTTATACTAACATCTTATATTATATTGCCCTAGACCTTGTACAGCTATGGAGCAAGAAAAATTGCCATATTTGGGCTTGGTCTATTGGGATGCATTCCCCAAGAATTGGCTATGTATCCACCTACAAATGGATCTTCATGTGTGGAGCCCATTAATAATGCAGTCCAGCTATTCAATAACAGACTGAAGCCAATGATTGATGACCTCAACAGCAATTTATCAGATGCAAAATTTATCTACATAAACATTACCAGCATTTCTTTAGGAGATCCTTCATCTATTGGTAGGTTAACATTTTAAACCACATTCATTTTCCTGATTTCATAGTAACGATCCATCGAGACACTGACAACATATAAATGATTGTCGTAGATGAATATTTACGACATGTATATATAACATCTAATGTTGAACTTATTCAATTATTTCAGGTATTAAAGTTGTGAATGCTCCATGTTGTATGGTATCGACAACTTTTGCCA